GCAGAGGCAATTGCAGGAATCGATGTGGCAAAGTCTGAGGCAGGTGCTGCAGGATTATGGAAGGCTCTAGAGGCTAGATACAGGACTAGGAAACCCTGAAGCATGTTGAACTGGAGACTCATGTTTATAAAATAGAACCATGTGTATTGTTCAAAGAAGGATCTGGGGAGGAATGTAGGCTCCTTTCTCTTTAGAAGACTGATTAGGAGATAAGAATGGATTGCACTAGAGAAATCACAGGGTTAGGGTTAGGGTTGTTTCAGGGATATCATTGGTAGGGCCTGTTGATGGATGGATTGAAGAGTGGTCAGAGATGAAAGGCACTTTGAGCAGGATCTGGGGAGGTAGAAATGAATCTTGTGGGGTGAGATCTGGGGTAAGGATTTCCTGGTGGGAAGGACAGCAAGTGTGAACACAGGGAGGACCTGCTGGGGTTGTATGATTCTGAAGGGTAGTATGGCTGCTGCTGAATGAGAGTCAGGGGAATGATGGGAGATAAGACACTAAAATAAGAGTGTAGAGCCTCCAGTGAGGTTTGTGGAACTGTACCAGTCTCTGAGGGTCACTTAAGTGAGCTGAGAGGGGTTGGGAGGATTGTAAACAGGGAGGGAATAGCTGATGTGTAGAGAAGAGAGTTAGGAGCCAAAATGGAAGCTGAGAGATCAATGCTGAATCTATCCTAACAGCTCAGATGAGAAAAGATGACTGGAGTTTGATTAGCAATGTAGATGGCGAGATATGGCTCAGCATTGGGTACATTTGGAACGGAATGGCGTGTAGAGAGGAAGCTAGCGGAGTCCAAGGCATTGAACCTAATAAACAGAAGGGAAGGTGTTACCCTTTCCCAGGGTGGGGAAACCTGGGGAATAGGAGGTTTGGTAGGGTGGGAATGGTCTTGAGATCAAGTTGAGTTTGAGATCTCTTGAGATGGAGAACAAGCAGCTGGGTCTGGAAGCAGAGAAAATTACCAGCATTTGACTGGCATGCAAATGCATGGATTTCATGGGTTTATCCATCCAAGCAGAGAGAAGATACAAAAAAATAAAAAAAGGCCCAAGGATTGAGCCCCATTTAGTGGTCATGAAAATTACGAGTCAAAGCTGAGCCATAGTGAAAAGTAGAAGCAAGAGCCGAGGTGCCCTGGAAGTGGGAAGAAGAAGGTAATTAAAGGTGGAGGGTGGGCAGCAAGTCACATGCTACTGGCCAGTCACGATGGATAGGAAATGAAACCTTACTGCCAATTTTGATATTGTTGGGTTACTGGGTACAGATTCAGGGACAGATAGGACTGACAGCATGACTACAGAGGCTTCAAAGAGAATCGTTTGAGGTTGAGGATGGTGTAGTTGGTAAAGTGCTTGCCAGCATGCGCAAAGCTTGTGTTCAATCCCCAGCACATCATAACCCAGCACTCAGGAGATGGAAACAGAAGGATTAGAAGTTCAAGGCTACATAGTAGGTTTGAGGCCAGCCTCGTCTACATTTAAAAAGGGGAAGGATTTGGAGAATGGTGCCCACAGCTCAGAGGCAGCATTCAGGCTGGAGAAATGGGGCAGGTGGTACCCCTGGCTCACAGCTAAGTGGACTGGGGAAGATAGCGGAGTGTTATCCCATCAAGAGAGCCTGAGGTGTTAAGGATGGGAAACAGGAAGAAAGGAGAAATCCCTACAAAGCTGGGAAGGGAGGGAGGCTCCAGCATGTGGGCACAGTGATATTAGAGGCAGGACAGCAAAATCTATTCCAGATGCTTCCATGGGTGGGGGACTGAGATTGGTAGGGGCTGGCCAGGACAGGCTGGGAAAGATAGTAGCCATGAATGTCTTCAGTGTCCACAGCAGAACAGGGCTGTGGTTTTCCACCCTGGCTGAGTGACAGGCTGAGTGACAGCTAGGATGCTTTTCAGAAATTTAGAGTTCTGGCCCCCATGTATCTGAATTGAATGGGACCTGGCTGTTTCCAAACATCTTGCTGTGATCTTAATGCTCAGGCAGAGAAGAGAGCCTCTGACACTTCAGCTTATTTTTGAGTTTGACACTGAACAAGTATGAGGGGTATTTGGAGGTAAAGGGGCAGTGGGGAGAGTCAGCTCTGGCATCCAGAGGACAGTGATGGCTGTGATTGTTGAAGGGAATCTGTCAGCTTTCCCCAGAAGAGCTATTCTCATCTCGCTGAATGAAAACCCAGATTAATTCTGCAGCTTTACAGCTCCCCGGAGCCTAGAGAAAAAAAGCATTTGGCACCAGATACAGACTTTGTTCTGCTATTATGTTTTTCAGTGTGAGGTAATTTTGCAAACTCTAGATACTGAACTACACATACTTCACTGGAATTTTAACATACCACATGCATAGAAGGAAGGGAAACACCATTGTGGCCAGTTTCTCATGCTGCCACCTGGCCTGAGTGATTGCAGGGGCTCTCGTGGCCCTCTCAGCCCTCTCATTCCAGGTGCCAAGGTGATGTGAGCAGGTGTGTGTATGTGTGTCCAGAATTCCTTCTTCCTCTGAGGAACCTCTTCTGTCCTGTTCAATGCAGTTTGGGTTTTCAATCACCATAGTTAAACCTACTTACACTTGGAGGGATGTGATCTAGGCCTACCCAGTTATAATAGCACAATTCTTGGCAGCAGTGACTACTTCAAGAGGTAGGGATGGAGTTTGAAAAGGCCCCACCAGTAATTTTTTTAGAAGATTAATTTGTGGAGAGTGGTAGTTTTGACCTTCAGTCCTGTGGAGTTCTTAGGTCTAAGGTCTTTGGAGTTTGATCAAGGTCTCTTGCAACAGATATATTTTGACTGACACAGGCTCCTTGTGACCCTCACAAGAGGTGGGCTCTATGGGGTATACACTGGAGAGTCAGGCAGGCATGGTCAAAGAGTTTGTGAGGCAGCTCTCCCTGGGATGTCCAGGTGTCCGTCTCAGGGTCATAACAGTCAAAGGAGGCTGAGTCCTCAATGTTGCAGTCTGTGGTCAGCCGCCGTCCACCTGTCACATACAGCTTGTTTCCCATCACTGCAGCCCCGTGGTGCATCCTCCGGTCTTTCATGTCTGCACATTTAACAAATTTGTTGGACTGAGGATCATAAGCAAGAATCCTCCTTGTGTAACCTGAAAAATCAAATGACATATGGGCAAGTGCAAGGCCACTCATGTGGAACTTAAGGTCAGCAGTCAGCAGTTGAGGGATGCATCTCTGCCCTCGCCAAGCTGGGACTCTGAACTAAAGCATGGATGTTCGGTACCTTACCAGGGGCTGGTGCCTAGATCTGTTTGGCTGTGGCCCAAATGAGTGAGATAAGCCTTTGTAGAGTGGGAGCAGTTTCTCACTTCTAGTAGTTCCCTCAGCCTTGGGGAACTTCTCTCCCACTCTTAGCAAAGAACCGTAGTAATCTAAGGAAGGAGCCTTTCTTGGGGAACTTAGAAATGAGTTCCCACAGCAGGCTATTTGGCTTCTATTTTGAGGGTATCTATTTTACTGATGGACAAACCAAGGCATAGAAATATGGTTTGAAGAAAGCACTAACCAGTTTGTGGTAGAATCAGGTCTCTTTGACCCCCTAAACCTCTTAACTATGATACGTTAAGTATTCACAGAGAAATGATGCCGGTGTTATCATTAGTAGCAGTATTTTGAGACAGGGTCTTACCCTGTAGCCTAGTCTGGCCCGGAACTCACTGTATAGCCCAGCCTGATCTCAAATTCATGGCAATCCTACTGCATCAGCCTCCCAAGTCCTCAGATTACATGTGTAAACCACCACCCCTAGCTAGTATTAACAACAGCAAGCATCTCTACTTCACTGTGGGTCTGGGACAGTGCTGAAAGCTTTAGACATACTAGTACATTTTATCATGGCAATGACTTTGCAAAATAGGCATCATATGTCCCTTGTTCATAGACAAAGGCAAAGAGAAATTTCTGCGTGTGCAGCTCTGTTTAGCTTTCCACACTCCCCCAGGTGGATAGATGTGCTTTAAAGAAGACCAGCTTGTGAAACATCTATCAGTAACCATTTTCCCCTAGGAGGTGCCAAGTTTGTGTCTGACCCAGCAATGCCTTGTTCACTCACCTCCCACAATGACAATCCGTTCCCCTAGCACCACCGCAGGGGCACACACATTCTTGATCATCCTTGTCTCCATTTTGAACCATGTGTTTCTGGAAATGTGATAAACCTTAGGGGAAAGAGAATCACACCATATTTTAAAATTAACTTTTTTTTTTAAAGAGGTAGTCATTTATTGCATTTTTTTATTGTGTGTGTGTGTGTGTGTGTGTGCGTGTGTGTGTGTGTTCACGCATGTGTGTGTACACAAATGCCACAGTCAAGTGTGGAGGTCAGAGAAAAACTTGTGGGATCGATTCTCTCCTTCCACCAGGTGGATCCCTGGGATCGAACTCAGATTGTGAACCTTGGCTGAAAATGCTTTACCTGCTGAGCCATGCCATGTCATTGACCCAAGAAGTTGTTTAGAGGGTGGACCAGGAGTGAGTTTTAACAATTTCTATTGATTTTCAGTTTTTTAAAACATTTATTATTTTAAGAATTTTATATGTATGAGTGTATTGCCTGCATGTGTATAAGTGCACCAGTGTTGTGCAGTGCCTGAGGACATCAGAAGAGAGTATTGGATCCCCTGGAACTGGAACTACAGATGGTTATTAACTGCCATGTGGGTGCTGGGAATTGAACCTGAGTCCTCTGCAAGAGCAAGAGCAGCCAGTGTTCTTAACCACCTAGTCATCTCTCCAGCCCCTACTTCTGTTTTTTTGTTTGTTTGGGGGACAGGGTCTCGCTGTAGCTCTGATGGCCTGGAACTTGTTGCTGTGTAGACCAGGCTGGCCTCAATTTCATAGAGATCCTCCTGAGTGCTGGGATTAAAGGTGTGCGCCACTATGCCTGGCTCCTTTTCAGTTTTTAAAGTATAGGTATTACTATCGATAAGCAAAATATTATTGACAGAAAGAAGAATTTACTGGAAGTTAGTCTTGAGGTGCCCTCATGAGACCAATGGCTTTGTGTCTATTGAATGGACCAAGCATTCTGCATTGGGTAGACATTTCACTACCTTGCTTGGAATGTTTTTTGTCTTTTGTTTTTGCTTGGAATATTTTATTCTTTTGATGAGAACTTGGATATTTAGGAAACCAATTATTTTTCTGATAATTTTTATTTCTAGCTTGTGTTTATATTTCTAAATGTTCCCATGCAATGAAGAGGGTCATAGAACCAAGAGTAAGTTTGAGGCCAAGAACAGAAGACTTTGGAACAGTTTATGCCTAAGAGGAACTAGAGTTTTAGGGAAAGAATAGAAACACAAGGAAAGGAAGATGGATCAAAGAGGAGTAGGCAGGCTCACTGGCCCTGCTCTGAAATGTGGATCAGATCAGGATTCTCTCTTCTGCTGAGTTCCTCAGTTTAAAGCTCAAATATCAAACATAGGTTAGTTAGTAATAGGTACAATTTAACTCCAGAGATGTGGGATGATGCTATACAAGAAGAAACAAAACATCGATTTACACAGAAAAATGGCACAGCAATCTTTACTGAAAATTCGCTCCATATTAAGTGTAATTTCTAGCATTACCAAAGACCTTATTTTTATAGTTTGATAAAAACTGGGGGCCAAAGATGTAGCTCAGTTGGTAGAGTGCTTGTTTAGGATACATGAAGCCCCAGGTTGAACCCCAGCACTGCATAAACTGGAAGGTGGCATAACCTTGTAATCCCAGCAATCAAGAGGTGGAGACAGGAGGATCAGAAGTTTAAGGTCCTATTTGGCTACCTAAGGAGTTCAAGGTCAGCCTGGGCTACATGAGACCTTGTCTCAAAAACAAAAACAAACAAAAGCAAAAATTAAAATAAATAATCTAAAGAATCTGACCTTCAGAAGTAACTTATGAGGTAGGTATTATTCCTTCCTTCATTTTTCAGATTCCACTATTGAGGCTCAGAGAGGTTAAATGGCTTGCCCAAGGTTGCATAGTTAGAATGAGTGGGAAAGAGTCTCTGCTTCAGCTCAGAGGCCATGCTTTGGAACACCAATGTCGTGTGTGTGTGTGTGTGTGTAGGTCACAGGACAACTTTGTAGAGTCTGTTCTCCCCTTCCACTTTTATGTGGGTTCGAAGGATCAAACTCAGTTCACCAGGCTTGCACAGCAAACTCCTTTACCTGCTGAGCTGTGTCACCAGTCTCAGACGGAGGTTTCTGAGACCAAGCCTTTTGATATCTATGTCTTTGACCAGGGGAGGAAAAGATACTCTGTCATAGTGAAATATTTGTGTAATGCTATTCAAAAGCAGGGGCAGAACAAAGACCAGGCAGTGTGGCACCACAGACACCCACCTTGCATAGTGGCATCACCAAAAGATGGTGCTGGGAAGAATGCATGCATATAGACGAATTGATCTCTGCAGAAAATCCTGACTATCTGAAAATCCAATCAAGTGACTCCCAGAATCCATTCTAAGCTATAGCCAAGTAAGCAAGTTGCCGACTTCAAAGCTAGTGCTAGGCAGACACGAAAATCAGCCACATTAATACTTTTACCCATTTCTGGCTTCCTTCAGCTGCACCATAAGAGGCTCACTCATGGGTTTGTGTTTATTTGGCTTTGGGAGGCTCTTGTGTGACTGTACTATGTATTTCTTGGTATGGAGCTGAGAGCTTTTCTTGAGCTTTGCTTTTATTCTTGAGAAGTTGATGACAATTTTGCAGTGTGAAGTCCCCAGCATATTTGTTGATTCTATTTTGAAAAAACAGAGAAGCTGGAGCAGCTCTGGCTGTCCATGAAGTGCTCTGATGGCTCGGTTTTGTAGGTTGGAGCTGTGTTTCTCCCACCTCAAATCAACGAGTGGGTCTGGGAACAGTTTTTCTAGAAAGACTAATAATCTGCCTAGATGGTCAGGGGGAACATGGGTTGGAGAAAAAGGTAAGAAAATAACCTTCACTGGCACTGATAGACTCCAAGTCATCATCACTCCTTGCCTGGACTTCTGGAAGAATCTCTCAATTCTCCTCCCTTGATCTCTTCCCATCCCTTCTATATATAGCATCTAAAGGAACTACAAAAAACGCAAATTCGATGACTTCACCCACTATACTTTGTTGATGTCTCTGCCCCATTCTCTCAGATTACCATCCCAATTTCTTGACAAGACCTACAAAGCCTGACTGTACCAGCTTTGTTTCCACAAGCCCTTCTGGAACGTTCCAAAATTTTTATAGAAGGGGCTTGGAGGCAACATGTGGGTGGAGGAGGTTGCTGGGGTAGCGTGGGAAGGGGCTGGTGGAGTACGTGGGGCTGACATCTGTGGCTGTCTCCCAGCTCCCCTGTGGCACACAGCCCGCCTTTTCCTTGCTTTGCCTGGTGACTACACTGTCACACTTTCCATTTCTCAGGCGGTGGGCTGTGCCGCCTTGGATCTTCAGGGCCTTTTACAAAGGACCCTTACCCAGAAACACCACCTCTCAGCAGATAACTCTGACCTCTTCAGCTGGCAGAAACCCCTTCACCCCCTAATTGACCTCTCAGGCCCCTCAGGCGCCTCTTGTACATGTTTTTTCAGCATCTCAGCATCTACCTTGCCTTCTCCTTCCTCTTTCATTCCCTTTTCTCCTGTCTCCTCCTCTGCTTCTGTGCTCAAATCAGCTTAAGCCAAATTCGTAGAGGTCCCTTCAAAGTTCTGTGGACCCTAATGTTCTCTCTGATCTCCTCTGGTCCCATTTAGAGCCTCCTAAGCTCTCGGACTGGTCTCTTCAGCTTCCGAGTGCTAATTGTCTTGTAAACTCTCTGAAGGTTAAATAGAGTTTGCTGTTCCCTCCCAGGTCCCCAGAGCTTTGACAGTGGCTAGTGCTAAATATAAAGCTTATGGATGAGCAGAGACCCTGTCCAGGGGTCTTCTATATTGTTCACAAGAGAAGTCTGCCATTCATGCAGTGATTGCTAGAAACTTGTATGAAATTGGGTACCAGTATTCTGAAGTTGGCCTTTGTCAATCACACTTTCCAGAGAGCTTGTTAGTGAGATAAATTTCTCCTGTCATTCAAGGCAGGGTTCTCAGACCTAGCCATATTTTAGAACTTCCTGGAGACTTTTGTAAAGCACAAAATGCTGGGATCCCATGCAAGGAGATTTTGGTTCAGCAGATCCAAGGTTAGGTTCCAGGGGATTTGGTGGTAGAGGTGTGGACCAAGGCTTGGGAGTCTTCCTTTCAGAACTTACTGATGGGGTTTAGCAGTATAACTTATGTCCTGTAGGACTTGCTTATCTTTTAATATGTTCTAGCCTTGTCTATCTTGTATTTAATATGATGTTCTAGCCTGAATTTCTAATTTATTTTTTCCCAGGAGTGAAGATAAACTCTGTGTGGATAGGGATTATATTTGTCATAACTTTGTATTAATATTACATTAAAAAGAACTTAGAAGACAAAAAAGCCTTGGTGAAAATTTCTTCCTTCTCCCCTTCTTTTCCCACAAAAGACAAATGTGTGCATGGGTGTATGCATACACATATATGTATATATTTGTGTGTACACATGAATTATTACATGTTAGGCATATAAGTATGTGTATATGTCATTAAATATGGCATATACAGGTACACACAAATACATGTATGTATATATGCACACATGCATGTGCCATTATATATGGATGTATATATATGCACCATTATATATGTATACACATGAATATACATGCAAACCTGTGCATCTGTATGACATTTGCACATACATGTATGCACATGAATGTATAGTTGCACATGTGTATATGTATATTCCATATGCATACATGCATGTACAAATGAATGCATACATGCATGCACACTATGCACACATATATAACATTATATGTTCACATGCATATGTCAGCACATGCTGCAATTCACATGTACATGAACACATATGTATGTGTGCATATATGTGCATGTGAAGGCATGTACACATGACACATGTATTTGTGTGAATATGTGCCTTCACATGCACGTGCCATTATCTATGCAGGCACATGCATGTACACATGCATGTGTGCATGTGTGTGGATATAAATGTATGTTATTCCATATGTGAGTATGCTCATACATGTGAATGCACACAGGCATATGTATGCTTGCATATATGTTATTTATGTGCATGTATATGCATGCATGTGTGTGCATGTGTGTCTGTGCAAGCACACCTGAGCACTAACATGGTGGAAAGGGCCAGCCCTTTACCTGGATAAGACGCACAGGGTTCTGCATGATGTCCTCACCCCCGAAAAGATAGAGCCTTTGGTCCTTCACTGCGACAGCAGGGTGGAGCACGGCCACTGGCATGCTAGCTGTGCTCTCCCAGACATCACGGATGCTGTCATACCTCTCCATGGAGGCCAGGAACTCCTGTCTTTCTCCAGTGCCCCCAATGGAAAAGATGAAGTTCTTGTATGCAGTGCTTCTGTGGGAGTAGCGGGCTGCCAGCATGGGCTCCCCCAGCCTCCACTGGTTAAGTTTCAGGGAGAAGATATAGACATTATGACTGACAAGACTCTTCCCCTCACTAACTGCCATGCCTCCGAGCACATAGACACTGCGGTGCAAAGTGACAGCTGAGGCCTTATACAGCCTCTCAGGGAGTTTGGCCAGGCTCTGCCACTGGCCAGTCTGTGCGCTGTAAAGTAGGACGTCCCTGGTGGTCTGCTGGTTGTCCTTCCTCCCCCCAAGGAGGAGGAGGAAATCTTGATAGGAGTTCCTTGGGGGGACATGCCACAGGGGTTTGCAGTCCTGGGCACCGGGGCTGTACAAGGAGAACATCTCCTTCCTGGCCATCTCCAGGATGGCCTGGCATGCAGGAGAGGACTGGAGGAGGGCATCATTGGCGATGAAGTGGTGGAAGAAGGCTGGATGGATGTATTGCAGGCGGACTTGCTGCAGCAGTTCCTGCATGTACTGCCACCTGGCCTGGAGGTCATGCTTGACCCAAGACATGAGGGCCTCAAACACCTTCTCCTCCTCCCCACAGAGCCCATCATCTCCCAGGTAGTCTCTCAATTCCATGGCACAGAGTTCCTTGAGGTCAGCTGATACTGCTACCTCTGGGAAGTATGCCAAGGCCACCTCCCTGGCTTTCTTCTTAAGGCTCTCACAGCTTAAGATCTCTGCAAGTCTGACCAGGCCCAGGCAGTTGCTGGGGGCCAGCTGGCTCTGCAGGTATGAGGAGCAGGCCTCAAACAACCTAGGGTATTGCAGCATGGCAGCTGCTTCCATCAGTAGGAGGACGGTGGTGGCTGAGATGTGTACCTCTCCAGTGTACACATATGTGACAACCTGCTCCAGAGTTGGGGCGTCAATGCCTTTTAGGTGCACTCTGGCCTCTCTGCTCTCACGGAAGTGGCTGCAGAACATGGCCTTGAAGTAGGGGCTGCTGGAGGCCAGTACATTGCGATGGCAGGGGACTTCCCAGTTACCACAACAGATGCTCACGTCAGTCAGGATCCTGCTTTGTCTTAAGCTATTGAGTTGTCTCAACAAGTCAGAGGAGAAGTTGTGATCTTTGAAGAGAACCCCATCTGGTAACTCCTCATCCATCCTATAGAGAGGGAAGGAAGCCCTAAGTGGAGGCAAGGTCAAGGCTTTCCGGCAGCATATACTGGAGGGGTTAGCTGCAAGGCTCCAAGTGCCCTCATTCACCACTGTCTATTCACCAAGTTGTTTGTGGGATAGCAAAGAATAGGGCACAGTGAAAACCACAATGGGAGACCGCCCTCATCTCAGACCTCAAAGTGATCTAATTTTGGTTGTGATTATAATCAAAGGTAATGGACACATAGCATTGTCAGCTAATCTTAGGCAATCATAAATCATCCAGAGTTGTCAGAAGTTTCTCAATGACCAGGGACTCACATATTAATTAGTCTGAAGCAAGATAACAGTCCATGCATTTAACAAGAAATGTATATGCCTTTGTCCAGATTCTCAGCATATCTGTTAGTAAACTCATCTCAGAATTTTTTTTTTCTGTGTGTTAGTCATTCCCCCAAGGCTGACATTCTGGGGGTGTGGTCTTCTAGTAGCTAGACAGAAGCGACAGATGACGGTGCGTTGTTTCAAGATGTAGATAGTAGAAGATGGCATGGTCTTCGGGTTTTGTTTTAAAGATAGGATCAATAGGAACCAAACACCAAATAACTGACTGGTTTATTGGTGACATTGTCAGCCTGCCTGCTGAGGAATGAAGTGTTAGGGACACTTACCTTGTTTTAATGTAGTGACATCCACTGATGCTGGGTCTGTCTTGTTCCCCCAGAAAGTTTCCACCTCGAGCTCCGAGTGAAAACATAAACCCCAGGCCTTTTCCTTTAGTTGGCAAATGATTTGTCCTGGGAGATTTCTGGATTTGTTTATGCTGAAGGCACTTTCACAGTTTCTAGAGCTTTGTGCAAGGGCTGCTGGGCAGGCAGACAGTGTATACATTCCAAGGCTAAGAATAGATGAATATGTACTTTCCAATGTTATGACATGTGACTTTCCAGTTGCCTTTTGCAGCCACCCGAGGGCCTGCAGGGTTGCGCATGCCCACACAGTCTTGTTTCCTTGGTGGGTGTTTCCATCTGCAGAAATAGAAAGGGAGGAACGGCTTCTCTGAGCAAGGCTTTGCTGTCCATTTGGACCCATCCCGAGTCCCTTGTCCTAAGAGAGCCTGGAAACTCTAGATGTCTGTAAACAGGTTGCTAAGACCTGTGCAAAATCACTACAGACAGTTCTGGGCCTCATAGAGGTGACAGATGGTCATAGGGGAGGCTGAGATTGGATGGACCTCCTGGGTGCTGTTTGATGGCTGTCCATCCCCCACCATCTGTCTGGCAGAATTGCTGTGAGGGCTGTGGTTTCCCTTCCAGGCCACAAGGCAAAAGAATCCATAACAAAAGTTGTTTTATTTTTAATATTTGTCAAGCACCCTGGGGTTTCCAGACTTGTGATAGCACTGGCCCTAGCTGGGCGTCCTGTACCTGGGGGTTCTGATTTGTGATAATTGTGTTCTTGCCTGCCACCTGCCCCTTTCTGAACATCTGCTAACTTTTCTTCGACTGGGCTCTCTTAGACTTCGGGCTTCACTTCTTGTCCTCCCTTTCTGCTTCCTCTCACCAGGCAGAAGTGAATTAGATGCAGAAGGCAAGGCACATTGCTCCAGGGAAAAAGAGAGCAAGAGGAGGGGGAGAAATGGAAGGGGTGACGGAAAGAAGGAAAAAAAGGCAAAATGGAGGGAGGCGGGGGGCGAGGAAAGGGAGAAGAGGAGAAAAATGAAAACGGAGAAAGGAGGAAGAGAAAGCAAGATGGAGGGAAAGGGGATAGAAAGGTGAAGAAGAGGAGCAGAAGGGGGAGGGGGAAGGAGGAAGAGAAGGAAG